AAACGATAAGTGAAAAAGATGGCTCATTAATTCACTCGCAAAAACGTCGACTGGAGAGATGGGCCGAACACTTCGAAGAGCAGTTCAGCTGGCCTCCTGCAACACAGCCGGTGGAGATTATGCATACGGGCGAATGGAATGTAAACCTTGATCGCCCTTCGGAAGACGAAATAAGGTACGAAATAGCCGTACTGAAACGTGAGAAGGCACCAGGACCGGACGGTCTGTATCCAGCCCTCTTCCAAGAAGGCGGAAATTCCCTGGTGACCCACCTGACAAAGCTTATTGGTACTATGTGGGACGAAGAGAAAGTGTCTACAGAATGGGACATGTCGACAGTTATCCCTATCTTCAAAAAGAGTACACGGACGCTATGCGAAAACCACCGTGACATCAGCCTGTTAGCTGTGGCATCGAAGGTGCTCTCTGGCCTTATCCTTCGAAGGTTGACTGAACGCAGAGAGAGACAGATCCGTGAAAACCAAGCTAGGTTCCGTCCTGCAAGAGGTTGCATCGATCATATCTTCACCCTCCGACAGATCCTGGAACAGCGACACTGCTTCCAGCAACCAACAATGGTTGTGTTTCTTGATCTTGACCATCGATGTCTTCGGAGCATTGCCCGAATCTGGTGGGAACACCGGATCAGCAATTCTGAAGTACGTCGAATGGCATTCGGGAGAAATAACACCCTCGATAGATGAACTAATCACACTTCACAGGTTTCGCAGGCTTGGACACGTGCTTCGTATGCCAGTCGACCGACTTCCCCGAAGGGCTCTTTTCGCCCAACCACGTGAAGGGTGGAAGAGAACCAGAGGCGGTCAAACAGTGACTTGGCAGCGAAGTGTGAAAGCCATTACCAGCATGCGCTGGTAATTGCCGTCTTCCTGGATGGGGACCCCGAGACGGGCCACATCAATAGCTGGAGACATTGTCAGATGTGGCCCAGTCTCGCCCTCAATGGCGCTCGTGCATCAAAGCTATTGCCTTCAATGCATAGCTCCTTTTCCAACCCAACCCCCACTGACAGTGCTGGATTTATGCACCAACTTACCAGCTCGCGCCTGGAATGCGCAGCTACCTACCCCCTCCCCCAAATCATCGGTGAACGAAACTGCGGCAGCTATAACCACTGTACGACCAGTAGCCGATTATTACAGCTGACAGTGATGATGGCGATGATGTAATTTCAGTTTTGAGCCGTACCTGTGAACAGTTGGCTCGTTCTGGTATTGAAGAAGGAATCAGAAATGCGGACGAAAGTGATGGGTAAAGGGTACTGAATTTGGACTATATATGTACAAATGAAATCAAATCGTCCAGCTGCCTAGCTGCCATGCCACCGAAAGGAAGCACGAGGGCTGGAATACTGCCAGGTTGCCCAAGCCTAGACAAGAGCAGTCGAGATGCTGAGTTCGGTTTTGAATCACGGGTCTTCCGTTCGTAAGCTGGCGCCTTAACCACTGAGCTACGTATAGACGTACTGAAACGGCAAAGATGAATTGCGAGACTACCGATCCATCACGAATCTTTTCACTCATATGTGGGTTTTCACATGATTGGTAATCTTCTGCTAGCCAGTGTTGATACGCATTTTTTAATACCTTATTTGATCTGTAATCTACCTGCAAAGTGGTTACTGTTCACCCATCCCATGACTTGTTCGCACTCAGCTTAATTTTTATTTTCCCCTCAGATAAACGTCGTGAGTATATGCGGGAGCTGACCCAATACCATGCTGGTGTGCGTACTGCGCTGGGTCCGAGATCGAAGCCTCCGGAACCTGAACCATCGGTAAGTTTTTAGCTTGATCAGTTTCCCGCAATTCGTTCCTTCCTCGTTATCCACATCGGTATCCTCCACCAGTGACTTTCAGGTTTTTCAGTTGTGGTCCATCCCGTGATGGATGTATTTGCTGGCATTCCGTAACGCTTTGTATCTAGTGAAACACAGAATTAGTTAAAAAAATGGAGTTTTTGACAACATATTGATGATGTGCGATTTACCTTTTGATGCTTCCTTAGTTCCAACTGTGGAAAAGGATGCGAGGTCTCACGCTACTTCATGCTTTGTGGTAGTGTGATTTCTGCACAAAATAAACAGGACACTCGATGGATCAGTTGTGGTGGTTGTGAGATTTGTGGAATTCATGTCCATATCATTATTCTTGCAATTATTCTAGTGAGTCCACATCAGAGGGGGAAGCACTGGTGTGGAAAAGGATGCGAGGTCTCACGCTACTTCATGCTTTGTGGTAGTGTGATTTCTGCACAAAATAAACAGGACACTCGATGGATCAGTTGTGGTGGTTGTGAGATTTGTGGAATTCATGTCCATATCATTATTCTTGCAATTATTCTAGTGAGTCCACATCAGAGGGGGGAAGCACTGGACTCAAAAGTAAGCACATTCGCCCGTTCAAAGGCGATAATTCAGGTGCCTCCAGCGCTCGCTGGTGGGTTAGTGTTAATACGCTCGCCTCACATGTCACGTCTCTGCAGATCAAACCCCAACACGGTGCAGGATATGTACTGCTGATGAGTTCTAATAGGAGCGAAACTCGAGTCCAGTACTTCCCCCCTGTGATGTGCACGCGTCAGGAGAATTTCTCCAGAACTGATGTTGTGAACGTCAATCCTTGGGTCATCCATCACCACAGATCCGTCATATATCTCATACCGCGGTTTATTTGTACAGCCACCTTGTCTCCGTTCAAATTACTGCACATTAAATGTCATTTTGAGAGCATATCCGTTCTTCACCTTTCGGAAAGCCTACAAATCCCTCCCTCACGATCACGGTTTTTTCGTTTGCTGCTGTTGTTTCTTGCCAAAGTTTTCATTCCACTATTATTGCGTACTGGAAAACTCCCGTTCTATGCTGCCCTTCATGGGAGTCGCTATATTAGCGCACCTTCTGTGTTTCCCTCATATTTGACCTCGTTTCCATGTTTCACTTTCAGCTGACTCACGCTTTATTGCTATATCTTTCTCTGAACACTTGTTCTTCGTACAGTCACATGGAAAGGATTCAATTCATCAATATTCTTTTTACTATGAATCCAACGCGCAGCGAACAGGAAACACTAAGTGCGAGTTAATCACACTGCTGATCAGCCGCCTCTTGGCCGAGCGATTAAGTGTTCAAACTACTGGCCAGAAGGCGCGGGTTCGAAACTCTCCGGAGTTTCGTGAGATGCGCACTGCTGATGATTCCCAATAAGGATGAAACAGCTGTACAGTGCTTCTCGGCTTTTCAAAATAGATTGGCTTCGCTTACAGGACAAAATCTCCACAAAAATCCCAAATCTGCTCACACTACCAACAGGAAACACTCCAAACTAATTACGTTTGTCTTCATTTACAGGGTCGCATGTTCAAGTATTTCATCATCGGCTTGCACTCCACCGTTTGTGCGATCGTTGCAATCATTTTGGTGATCGCCATTGCCGTGAATTAATCAGCACGAAAACTGGTTGTTGGTGCAACAGAAAACGGGACGGAGAGCGAACGCTTTCTTATCTAACCAGTTATCTTTGACCATTTTTTTCACCCCTCATCTGTCAAAACTCTCGTCGGATATTTCCCCTTCAACCGACGCACTCTTGTTGTCCGCTTAGGTGTTCATTTTATTCGAGCCCCTCTCCCTCGATCTCGCGCCACTATTTAGTTGATCTAACGCATTTAAACTTGAATCGTATCTTATGTTTCTGCTGGATGGCTGTTGCTAACACATTTTGCTTGATCGCGTACAACATATGCAGTCATTCGCACCTCTTTCTACTCGCACAAGGGTTATGGACTATCAAATTTTCTGACGCTTTTTAGCTAATGCAAGTGCTCTTATTTCTTGGATTATCGTCTGAAGCCCAGGTCGACTCCACTTACCTACCTACTTATTCATATATACATATCTATATTATTAGCATTTAACCTATCTCTCTCTCTCTCATATTTGTCTCTAGTGCCTTCTAGGTTTGCATGCTTTGTTCCATTGTATTTTCCGCTGAGTGGGCGAAGTTCAGTTATTTTCTTTCGTTCTATTTTGTCAGGATGTGAAGACGCAGAGATTATGAGCAATGTTGGGCGACTATGTTAATGCTTACTTTATGTTTTCTTGAGTAGACCGTGTTCGCTATTTCCTCTTAAATGGCGTGCGAATTCCTGGGCTTTCGCCGTAATAACTTTATTAGAATGATGAGAATTGTCATATCAACAATTGTAAATGATTTAATACCGTCTGGGTAGACTGGCTTGACGGTTTTCGAGAGTAGGATCAATTTGATTTTCATCAAGGAACACAAAGGACCGGGATTGAGGGGATATTTTGAGAATTCACACTAGCACCTGAGTTTTGTTCGAGATTGCAGCTCTAGCTTTTGCGATTTACACTTTAGCCGGAGGTTTGAAGACAACAATGGAACGGAAAACCGAACCTGGCTTTTAGATTTCACAGGCCTTCTCGACTCAGTTCACTGAAGCTGTTTCATGTTCTTGTCGTTGTTTGTGAAGAATTAGGGTTTAGCGAAATCTCCTAACTAAAGTTCGATGAGACTGTAGCGCTAGACGCCCACATTCACCCTTTCACTTTACTACACGTGGGAATGCAATCAAAAGGGTTCTGTTATCAGGTCTCCAAGGTGCATTTCATGGAGTGTAGAAGACGATTTTGTTCGGTCCTCACAATAACCCCCCCCCCCGAACATGCTGGGGCGTTTGAAGGGTTAGCTTGTCAATGAGCAGATAGTACTGCATATGTATGCAGCTGATTTATCCTATCAGGATGAGAGTGTCCTAAGGTGCGATGTATCCTCCACTGTCTGGATCGGCCAAACTCACTGCCCTCTTTTTTGGGGGGGATTAAGATAATGCCAAACAGGAGTTTTAGTGAGGGTACGTCACTTCGTAGGCAATCACACTGGGAAACAGCTGATGAAAAAGGTGGCTGGACACATCAGCAAGTTAGTTGCACATTCTGCTGCCCTAACAGGTGCTGGACGGCGGCAAGAAACTCTTTCTAGTGAACATCAGTTGCTTTCGCTGTGCTGTATAAATCTTGTTTTAGTAAATCTGGGATCCTTGCTTGATAGTGAATGGCGTCGGTGACTATTGATTGCTTGACTGTAACGGTACTGATTATCAGTTATTCATTTTCACTAAAGTTGATTCAAGATTTCGAGTAATTCCAGATGACCGTCCCTTCGGTAATTAGTGTTGTCGTTGCTGAGACAGATCCATCCTAGGAAAACGAGCCGCTGCAGTGCTTTTCCTGCTCTCGACTCAATGACTCGGAATAATTAAAGAACCTTGTGCCCCAACAGGCTCTGTTTGTGTTGTCAGCCTAGTTAATACCTGGTAGGATACGTTGCGTCTCCCCAGTCTCGTGAATCTCGTTGAACTTGGTAACCGTGATGTTTTCTAAGTCGCGGTTACTGGATTAGTCTGTGGCAACATCGATCTGTTATCTTGGAATAGATTTTGACTTGGGTGACACTGACGGAATCAACACAGTTCGATTATTGTTTGAGGGGGCTTTGGAGAGATTTCATTCCGAAGATGTAGATAATCTATGTTGAAAAGCCGAGAAGCACTGTACAGCTGTTCCTTGTTATGCATCACAAATCTGTGGGGAGTAATTTCCATCTTATGTAGTTTCAAAGACAAGAGCATTTAAGTAATATCATCCGAAAACCATCACATTTACTCCAGTGTTAAACTACTGGCCCCGAAGTGTACCCATTTTGTCGTTCAGTCGATTGTTCCAGCCTAGACTGCCGTGTGCTTCGACCATTCAAGACCATATGGTAGCTGGACACCAGACCGATACAGTGTAAGTGGCTTGCAGTGACCGTCCTAGAGCGTGAAAGTCGCACTAACACCATGATTTCATCAAAATGGCGACGGATTCCCACTCCACCAAGTAAAAGTTACATTGAACGTTGTTGTTTTCTTGATATTTTAGCTTTCCGAGCTCTCACAGTCCGTCACTTTTGACCTCATTGATGCAAAAGTCAACCACAACAAGTAAGAGTGAAATCTGTATCTGATGAGCGAATAGACTGGTGTTTTACTCTTAAATTCGCAGCACAGAGGGAAATGATGAGCATAAAACATTCCTTCATAAATGTGGGATAAAACGAAGTCTTTAATTGGGAGGAGTAGTTGGGAAAAATTCTCGAGGACCAACTCATCGGAACATTCCAACGATCAATTATCGTTAACAAAACCAGAGCGAAAGTACCACATTTGATATTAGTCCTGCTCTGACCAAAAAAATCGATAGAAATGCAGAATAAACGTTTAAACCAATGTAAATGTAAGGGTCAGAACTTGTGAAAGTGGCACAGATTTGGAGATACTTTTTAATTCGATAAGTAGCTGCTAACAGAGGTTTATGCAACGCGAATAAAGTGGCTAAGCAAAATCTCCGAAAGCTGAACTGTTCCAGATTTCGGTCAACCAACTTAGACGAGTTTTGTACCACGTGAATCACGAATTGTGTCAGTGAGGCGAGCTAGTAGCTCTCTTCGACGTCAGGGTGATTTGCACAGAACGTAGTTCTCAACCTAGAGGTGGTGACTGGAGGCAGGGACTTTTATTAGGGGAGTGACGAAGGGTCAGGTATACTCTTTCAATAAGCATTCCCACGTGAAAGTGAAAATATATACAAAACAAAAACTGGGAATGTTCACTGAATGTTAGTTTTGAGGTGCCAACTGACTGCACAGTCCTAACGGGTGGGTCGGACGCTCGAGACAATCAGGATAGCTGCTGGATCGTCGTTCGCGCCGTTGAGCGAGCATGAACGTTAGCCTATTCAGACGTGATGAATTATTTGTGCGTTCTGTGCGCTAGTGAAGCAGTGCTAGCGCGCTCACCTTGCGTGTCAAATATCTTGTTATCAAGTTCCGTTATGGCCAAGAATGTGCACTACTCGAGTCCCATCCCCCTGTGCGACCTAACCACATGAACTGCACCAGCACAGGAAGAGGCTGTGCAAACAAGAAGAACTTGAATTCAGGAATGAAGTAACCTACTTCTTGGTGGAAGTACCAGCAAACGAATTCAACTGATTTGCATGAGATGAATGAATCTTCAAAATTTGGATTAGAGTAAATTTGAATCTCTCAGTGCTCCAACTGAAGGCTCTATGCACTGCCGTTACCGTATCTCTGAGTTTTGAAGTTTTATCCATTCTCGCCTCAGAGCGCATCAGATGCGCTTGAAAGGAGCGCTCTTTCGGAGTAATTTCGGGCCAGGATTGCAGAGATGATATGTCGTACATCTTTGTTCTTTGACCGAATGGAAGAAAGGACACGTCCTACACAGCTAAGCTTTGGGAATTTTGATGGGACCGCTGGAAGTGACTGACATTTGGAACTGGAGCAGGTGTACAACCCGCGGTCAGGTAGATGAACTACAAATATGAATAGCGTGGGAAGTTTGTAGATTTCTGGTAAAGGAGTACCATTTGCGTGCCCATTTTTCATCCCTATTGTAATGTGAAATATATATATAGGCCCACTCAACCCTGCCCCGACGATGTCACCTCGATTGGTGATGAAACGTTTGCAATCCAACTGCCAAGCTCGGCGAACAGACCAACAAGCATTTAGCTATATCGTTTGGAATTCCGTCCTTATTACGGAGTACGTTATATCGTTAATGCTGGTGATACAGAAGCGTAGATATCTCCTGGAGGGACCATTCGGATAATGGAAGATTGAAGCCGTCAACGCTAGCAGAGCTTCACTTATGCATCCCGCTGTGTGCGGCAGGGTGGTGGGGTCGGGCGCCTGCCGAGCAAGTTAGCGTAAATTGTGCTTGTGTGACAGGTGGGATACTACAATGGCCCCAAAGTCTAAGTGAGAGGATTTAAGTTCTAAACCAATGCACCCGCCTAAGAAATCCGACCGAAAGACAACAGCGGTCGGTCTTAAATGACAAGAATCGTCTGGATTTATTAAGACAAGCACCCACATTTATTCATTTATTTCAAATAGCGGGAGAATGTACACCTATCACAGTGGTCTCCAACCTACATTTTATGAGCCCAGAGGGGCGATTTCCGAGTAAAGTGACATTATCATTGTGAATTAAATGATAGGTCACTGGCCCAACAGTCTTGGGCTTCGTTTGCGCTGGTGAGTTAGACTCAATGGGGTTATAAGTTTAGATGTTGAAACTTGTGAACTTTTACCTGGAAGGTTTGACAAGTATCCGGTAACGCAGGGCCTCAAGGGTTCAGACTCTACATTAACATGCCCAATGTTATTGATACGATTTGAATTGAGTAGTCGGGAAACGTGCCCCAAACAGTGATACTTTACCAGCCAAATGGGGTATGGTGATATAGTCATTCAGTTAGTATTATTGGTGAACGGCGGTGCCTCACCTCGCCATCTGATTAGGTCAAGATACAATCCAAATAGTCAATAACATTGTATAACAAAGCGCTAAATGAGTCTCATGCTCAAACTTGAATGGATCGGTGATTGAATATATGAGTCACACACACTCATTGACTGGTGAATGGAAAAACAAGCAATTTTCAGCCCCCTTATGAGTAGTGCATTACGAATATACGTATATCGCGATATCTCGAGTGTCATAGCGACTGAAACATGAGGCGGCCTGGTGCAGCACATTCAGTTGCCTGGAAACATCACATACGGGAAACTCAGCTGGGTTCCAGATGAGTCTCTTGCAAAAACCAAATAAGTTTGCAAATGGGTGTATTTCGCTAATTTCGTGCATTTTAGTTTCAAGTAGAACATAAGGTTGACGGAAGCCCGGGGACTGCGCCTACCTGATGAGCCACAAGAAGGGCGAAAGCGGTCGTGGGCTGTTGATGAATTTTCAGCCACCTTATGAGTAGTGCGTTACGAATACGCAAGTAATTTTCTTATTTGTGCTTGCCATCAAATGGATCCAAAACTATATCAGCGATGTAACCCATTGAATGGCAAACTGATAGGAAGATGAGTTAAGGTTGTGTCGACTTTTCCAGAAGCTTGGGGGTCGTCGAACACTTAGATACAGAAGAATGGGTCGCAAGGCAAAAAATGTTGAAAATAACTCGGTGTTTGCCGAATCTTTCGCGCGCCTTTGGTAACAGCGTGCTGCCGACAGTCAAGAGAATAGGGACAAAAAATCAACCGGTAAATTCTTCGCCTCTGTTCGGATGTCGGGTATTTATGAAGGAATCAAGGACGGACAGGATCAACCCAATCATCTTGG